TTTTTTAACAGGCGGCAACCCTATTACAAAATACTTCCGAAATATATAGTTTCTGAACCGCTTTCGCTTGCTAATATTTTGTTAAACTTGTTAATTAATCGGCTTTTTTAAAGAGGTGGCAACTCCAAAAAATATTTTATATGTTAGTATATTATATCTATATTCCAAATTTAATTGAAATATATCCAGACGTTTTAGCGTGAACAAGCAACAAACATACTCACTCACAAACTTTCACATTTATTATATTAGTAAATAGGATTAGTGGAATTTAACTTAAATAAATCAACCTGTTGAAATAATGTAATGAATGATGTGTAAAATTCGCGCGAATTTTCGATATTTTTTTTTTCGACATTTTTATTTTCGACATTTTTCCTTTCGACAATTTTTTTCTCGACATTCTTGATTTTCTAACAATTTTTTTTCGACATTTTTTTTCGGTGTTTTTAGTTTCGACAATTTAAATTTCGACGTATCGTACCAGACCCTTATAAAAATTTGAAACTGTAACACTAAAAAAGTAGCTGATCTCTTGACTTGATTTTGAAACCGCACTATTTTTAATCCACAAGGTGAGGAAATCGTTATTTCGTTAATATTTAAAGATGCTTAATATCGGGATTGCTTTTGTGGATACATTGAAATTTCCTAGTGATACTACACATATAACCCAATTTCTTAGATTAACATTATTCCAAAGTAACTAATGGCATTTTCGTTTATACCAAAAAAGGTTACCTTCTCTTTGCCCTCTAGGCACAAATGCTAAGAAGAGGGCAATGAGAAGGCAACATTTTTTGTAGAAACCGAAACAGCTATATTTTATCTCTTTGTGCGTATATTTTATCGACGAATTGGGTTACTTTGAAAATTTGAATAGTTTCTGGTACATATGTATTTACAATTTAGATCGGCATATTCCTGCCCAAAGGGTTGCGGAAAGGTTCATTGCATATTAAAACCATATACCTGAAATTAGCGAATACTTCTTAGCCAACCAATTAAATAAATCGGAGACTTGAACCAATCATTGCTTGACTGGTACGCCAATACGATTTTAAAGAGCTTCTGGTCAGAAATTTCACTCACTCGAACCTTTGGGCAGGAATATTTTGAGTAAAACTTTGTTGATCACGAGTTCCCAGCTTCTCTTTTAGCCTTCCTCGACTCCGTCGCTGAACCCTACTTAGCTATCACTCGGACACTGAGTTCAAAAGGTTGGCAATTCGATGATATATGCCAGGACTAATTGACACTGAGTTCAGAAGCTCCAATAATTCCTCGTTTGAGTAGTTCTCGAAAGATCCGGATTTTCCTATTTTAAACTTAATTTAAATTTTCTGCTCTTTGTCTACTACTCATTTATGATTTGTTGAAACAAATGATTTATTGCCGACAAACATTACCTTGGCTTCTCTATCACAAGATCTACCTACTATAATAATAAATGTGACTAAATAAAACTTTTGCCCGCTTTGGAAATATTCCAGTATATTCTTGAAATAATTGTCATTCAACTTGGGAAGGTGCAGTCTAGGTCAGCACAGAGTGGTAAAAGATTGTCCATTAAGTGCATCCAATTTTCCATTAAGTGTATATTTTAGGAGTATTTACAATTCATTTATCAAAAGGCACTTGTCAACCCACGTCTGCAGTATCGACCTAACTAACAGTTGTACAATCTCTTTACTCTATGTACGCACCTGGCACACCTACGTATGTATGTGTTATAGATTACCTATGTATATATTTATGTATGTATGTATAGATGATTGTATGCCTTCCCTGCAGCAAATCAAACTGGTTCAGAACTTGCGCTGAGCTAGCCTGAAAAGGGACGGTACTGGTTCTTCATCTATCCCAACTCAATGCTTGCAACTGTCTTTTTTAACATGGCGATGTCCTACGAAGTGACAATTGTCGCCCTCTGCAGAACTTTTGAACTTGTTCTGAGCTGACTCTGGCTTAGATGGTTCTGATACAGTTCATATAACAACAGTTCTTAGATAGTTCAAAAAGGGTCACCTCCGGGCTAGAAAAAATGTGGTTAGTTTTGAGCTGGTTCTAATAAGTATAGTATGGAGCCTTTTCTTTAAATAAGCACGCATACAATTTTGTAAATAAAAATACTTCATTATATGTTTCAAGAGCTATTTGTTTTGAACTAATTTACTTTTTGACGCAAACTGTGCTTTAAATTTAGGAACATAAAGTGTCAATTGTTCCTTTATTTTCTAAAACCGTTATTCTTAAAAATAATTTATATTTTTTACGTATAATGGGTATTTCTGGGATACCTATAATTAAAAATCTGAACTAAGTCGTGTCAAAAAATGAGAAAAACGGTGATATATTGAATGATTATTCGTGATAACTCAGCGTTAAATTGCATTAAATTTATTGAAATGTAATACATAGACTTTCCGGCATCTCATAAGAAATATAGAATTTTGAAGATTCACAATAGTTTTCATGCTAAATATTTTTCGTAAATTTTTTATTTAAGGATGGCTCATAAGTATTATAACATAAACAAATAAATTCACGTTTCTAACTGTGTTGGAAATTTAGTAGAATTCTAGAAACTGTTATAAAAACTTCAATATTTTAAATCAGAGTTTATAAGTATGCAGTTCTATAGCCCATTAAATTTTAGTATAATTAATCGCGCTGATTTTTTATAACTCTTTTTACGAATGCTCTTGAAGGCATTCTCCTATTTAAATATTTTCGTTTAATATGCAAGATTACACTTTACTACACTAAAATTTTATGGGCTACAAAACAGAATACTCGAAATATTTATAAAAAATATCTGATTAAAAATTTGAAATTTTGAAGACAGTTTTTAGAGTTCTATAAGTTTGCAGCACAGTTAGGAATTTGAATTTAAATGGTTTATGGAGTATGAGACATAGTACTTAAATAAAAACTAAACGAAAAATATTGAAAGTGAAGAACATTGGAAATTAAAACAAAATCAATGCATAACTACACATTTCGGGGGCTTAGTGATACATTTACGTATGTACATTATCGTTCATATGAATAGCACTCCCATTTCAAAGTGAGATTGTTTACCACTTTTGCAAATTTTTTTTACATCTGATTAAAAGGTCAAACATTTTGACGAAAAATCGTTAAATTTAACTTTGTTTTGTATAAAGTTTTAAAACACGGTTTATATGATTTTATTCGTATTTTATACATACGTACGTAGATATGTATAAAAATGACATTAATGTACCAATAACGACTTTTTTGGAAATATTTGAGCAGTTGCGCCATAAACTATGTAGAGAATTACATATTAAATAAACGAAAACAGTTTGTTATTACTTTTAGGGTCTAAGAAAATCGAAAAAATATAGTATATTACATTTGTGCATCTTTTGCCAGCTTTCACATGACCAGGATGAGTAACATTGATGACAGCGC